AAGAAAAAAATCAAGAATTTATAATGACATTGTGATCAGCGAGTTAATTCAAGATTTCGATGAAGCACAAAAAAAATATTCTGAAATAAAAGTTGTTCGTACACAATCAAATAAACGTACCAGACAAACAAAACGGACAAACAATGTTGTTTATCGAAAAGTTACCAAATCAAGACCAAGATTGCCATTGGTTAAAGCCCCAACTTCAAATCCTCCTCACTCAAACGACCCTACCGATATGGATGAAGACTTACCACCTATAAAATATCAATCCTATCCTTGGGTACCAGAAATCAACATCCCTCCAAAACTCATTCATGCAAGCCCAGGAAATCAAGCCTGTTTAACGCAAATGAGGTAAAAACAGCAACAATCGTTGATATGATGATTATAATTATAGTAGCTATTGCGGTGAAGGAGATGGGAGAGGTGGTATCACTAAATCAGGTTTCTGTGTAATAAGAATGTCTTGATAAATGTGCTGGAAATGTTGGAAAATCTATTGAATTATATAATGATCTGTTATTTAATTCGGATTTAACGGATCTTCTATCAGGCAAGGGAGCAATTAATAGAGAATTCGTGGTCTTGTGACGTTTAAAAGTATGAGCGGCGGTAGTGGTGTCACTCGATTGATTTATTTCAGTTGATAAATGTAATTCGGTTGTTGCTCTTCTTGGTGGTGGTTTCGGAGACATCATTTTCTGCTTTATGAGAAGATCTTCTTTAATACGTTTTTCTAAAACTTCGCTATCCAAAATTTTTTGAATAATGATTGGATTTAAGGCGTCAATCTCTCCCGATTCATCATCACTTAAAGTTTTATTTATTTTCTTTTTTTCTTTTCTACGCCGTTCTTTTTTTAATTCTCGTTCTCCTATTATACTTTTCCTTGCTGTTTGACGACGTAATGATTTCCTCTTATTGTATTTACCACTACTATTATCATTAACAGCGTTACTTTTATCATGACTAATATTAATATTATCATTATCGTTATCATTGGTGTTATTAAGATTTTTACTTGGATAAAATTGTGGATTACCAGTTGTAACATTACCATTAAATGATAAAAACACACTTTGCTCCAATACATTCTGTCTAAATATTTGTGAACCACGTGGTTAACGGCG